CAAAGTACCATTGTAGACATTTATAGGAAGCACTACTGGAACTGAGAGAAAAGTCACACATCTCCAGGTTTGCCCCTTAATTTACTCATTTTAAGATAAAGATCTATAATACATATAAAATGCAGTCCAACTATTAGGCAACATCGACTTTCCAGTCTAAAACTGGGATCAGTATTCATTCCTTGCCCACACAGAAGCCCTTAGAGATGCATCAGGAAACAGACACCCATTCTTTGACTGAATGTCCTCTTCTCTTGGGGATTTAAAAAAAATTCCCTCCCAACCCCCAGCTTGAATGTTCTCTTTTTATGAAGTGTACATCCCAGCAGGCCTAAAGCAACACTTGACTAAGAGACGTATAAGTATTAACTAATAATCATTCATGTGTTGTATGTTAGACTGTAGTCAAAAGATGAGAATAACCCTAAAACCAGGGACCAGAATCTGAGTCTTCTGCTCCGGCCAGTGCCCGGAGCACAGGTTTGAAGCCCCTGTTCCTCTTGCCCTTCTCCGGAGCGTACCCTGACACATGGCCAGCTGCCAAGGGGCTCAGGATCCACAGCACACGTGGAGAGACCTTCTCTCTGCACCGGGGAGACCTTCCTCAGATGTGGCAAAGTGGTGGGTTTTGGTCACCTCCCAGGGAATGCTTGAAGCCCAGGACAAAGGTGGACACCAACAATATTGGATACACACAACTCTTCTCACAGGTTTCTTACACGAGGCGGAGCCCAGCTTCAATGCTTTGCCTTGCTCACCCAACCGCACTCACGATCCCTTACGGTCACTGGATGGAGAGTGACAGCATCAAACCAGGCAATAAACAGTACTTTGCATTGTACTCTGAGGTCTTTGGAGGAACCTGCCTCTTCCATTAGCTGCATAAGGATCGGCAGTTTTACTGGGCCAGCTGAAAAGGACCTCTGCTGCAGATCAAGTGCCTCTATGGACTCTGATCACTTTCTTCTGTGCTTTTGTTTTCCTTTAAACAAGTATCAGATTTTTGATACTTCAATTGAAATATGGGGGGAGGAAGGTATTTTATCAGCATTTAAAAGTAAAAATATCCCAGTGAAAGGAAATCAATTAAAAGCTTTCTCCTTTCCTCCAAACACACAGAAAACAAAATTCTCCTCAAATGCTATAATTTTCACAACACAGTTCAACAATATTCTCTACCTAGTTGCTGAAAACGTGACTGAGGAGTACAATAAGAACTCAGGAACATCTGGCTGGATTAATTGTATCCCTATTTTTCATAAGGAGAATTTATTCTTACATACTTCAAATTTCAAATTTCCCAATATCAAATCCTCTCAGTCACAGTATGAACTTTGTAATATATTTCAAAAGCATGCTCCTCTGAACTTCACAGAAATAATTCAGCTCACGTACTGTATGTATTTACGTATCACCATATCTGATCAGTCTATAGCATACAGACCTAGCGTATTTGCCTATCTGCATATTTGCAAATGCAAAAAAATGTATCTTCTCTGAAACTACTACGGACACAGAAGTATATTTAGGAGCCTTAGATTTGGCCTATTTGCAAAAAACTCAGAAAGTCATGCCAAGGCAAAGCAGAAAACTTGGACCATTCTCCTCTTCAGGTCTAGTTAATAAGATTGTTTTTACAGAACAAAAGAACAAAGCATAAATATTTAATTCTCATGACATGCAAACACTGTACTGTTTTCCTGTTGGTATGGATAACGCTCCTGTTCACATTTTTATTTGCTACCCAATTAGTAGATTACCATAAGTACAACTTGCCACCTCTGCACTTGAGGAGATGGTGAAGATGAGACAGGCATTTCTCAGTTTTAGCAAGGGTGGGAATACTCTGGGTCGAGGGAGAAGCACATGTGCATTAATTTTCTCACAAAGTCAGGTAATGGAGTATAGTTCAGCTGCTCACTGGGACAAAAAACATTATTTGCAAGACTTGAAATCAGCAACACAATTCTTAAAACTGATTTTATTCTTACGGTATTCTTTTATAAATAAATAACGTGAATTAGTATTTAATTGTTTCAAGCCGAGATTTTAATTTTTCACCTATCAGTATGGGAAATCTCTTGGCAGCTCTGGAGGCTGTGTGAAAATTAAATTTTTTGTTTAATTATAAATTGGTTTTGCTGTAATAGTGGAGGCTTTAATTGAAATATTTTAATTAAGTGCTTGAAGCAACACAACGCCGGCTTTTTGCCAGAGACTAGCTTATCTAACACTCTGGAGTTTCACATTTACTGAGCTCCTGTGCTGAACATACAGACTGCTATATAACCAATTGTATCTGCTGCTTCTACCTGGCTAATGGCATGTAAAAAGACAAACAGCAAGTGCATTCAACTACACACCTTAGACCAAGTTAATAATTTGGGCAGTAAAAAGGGGTGGTTAGGACTGTTTAAAAGTAATTAGATTGAGTGAAAGAAAGATAATAGTTGTAGCATCTTGTTCAAAATGTATTGTGATCTCCACAGATATACTTCCTGCCTTCTGGCAACCCTCCCAGGAGGAACAAGTGGCAGACAGGGCTATCAGATTGCTCTCCGATGGACGGCCAGACTAGGGCAAAACATAAGCTCCAGCAGGGAATGCTGCTCTCTTCTTCTCCAGACAGGATATCAAAATTGAAAGTACTTGGAAGGTTCATAAATAGCAATATCAACACTATTAAGATTTCAGGAGTGTGGGGAGGGGGGAAGGGTTGATTGCTTTTTAACAGATTAATTTCCACATTTGAATATTTCAGAACATTTCAGAAACAACACTATCTGTCGCTGGGGCCCCTCCTGATGACACTAACAAATAAAGAAATGGGATCTAAAAGTACAGAGGAAACTGAGAACAGCAGCAGCAGGATTTCATACTTGTAAAACACTATTTATCCAAAAACTCTGAAGCTTTCTGGAAAGAGAGGTCAGGCAGGTGCTATTATCCTGAAAACATGGGCGAGAATAGCAGAACAGTAATGCTGATCACCTGCACCAAATCTATCTGCAAACATCTGCATGGCTGCTTTGAGAACTAGGCTATAAAACAGTTTATCTGTTATCATTGTGTTGGGTGAAAAAACCAAGCTACCTAAGGTTTCAAGCACTAACAACCACGGAAACTGCCTCTGCAATATAACAAATAATTTAAAAACATTTATACTTCATTGCAGATCACACCAAAAGAGTTACTTGCACAGAAACCACATGAGAACCAGAAGAGGCAAGGATGTAGTTACAAATGAAAGATATTGAAATATATGCCTGAGTTAACAAGATTTGTGGGGAAGAACTTTCCATGCATTGCAATAACAGGAAGATATTGATTAAAAAAACCTGCACCAAATCTATCTGCAAACATCTGCATGGCTGCTTTGAGAACTAGGCTATAAAACAGTTTATCTGTTATCATTGTGTTGGGTGAAAAAACCAAGCTACCTAAGGTTTCAAGCACTAACAACCACGGAAACTGCCTCTGCAATATAACAAATAATTTAAAAACATTTATACTTCATTGCAGATCACACCAAAAGAGTTACTTGCACAGAAACCACATAAGAACCAGAAGAGGCAAGGATGTAGTTACAAATGAAAGATATTGAAATATATGCCTGAGTTAACAAGATTTGTGGGGAAGAACTTTCCATGCATTGCAATAACAGGAAGATATTGTTATTAAAAAAAAAAAGCCCTCTTCCCTTCTACTGAAGAGTGCCCTCATTGATCAAATAACCTAAGACCAAACAACAGATAACTACAACAAGGTTCCACTGTATTTGACAGCAGATTAATTAAACTACACAAGAACATACTGATCCACACAACATATCTTGCCTCCAGCAGAAAACACTTAGGAAGAAAAGGGAGAAGGACAAGAACTTAGTGCAATTATGTAAAAGAGACAGATAAAATGTCATTTCAGAAAACAAGTAATGGCTGGGTCAAGTAACTAGGTAGAGTAATACTTCACAATGTATGGATGGAGCACTGCAGGGTGTTTCTTGCCCTATTTCTCTCATATTCCTGTTCTGTACTGGCTAGTACAATTCATTCTGACTGACTGAAGAAGAAAAGCCTGCCAACTAATCTTAGAAGCCAAGGGAGGGAGATTAACAGAGGAAATTAGTAGGTCTGGGCTTCAAAATCCACCTTTTCCAATTTCCCCTTCTTCCATCTCAAGTGCATAACAAAGCTGTTATGAAACCACGTTGTAGCAGTAAAAAAAACATTGGGCTTTTTTTTTTTAAATCTCTGGGTCAAGAACATGGCTAAAATCGTGCCTGAAAGCTGAAGAGGCTTGTCAGAGTGGGCAGGATAAAAATTTCAGGAAAATTAAGAAATTCTCAGCTGGTGGAGATCACTTTAGCTCCTTTAATCCACATTGCTATGCTGATCCACACCAGCTGAAAATCTGAACCTTCTTTTGTGTTGTGCTATTTTTAAGTAGCTAAACTTCAGCCTTGAGTACAATTGTTCGATCCTATGACGTGGTCCTGAAAGACAAGTACAGTGCAAGTAAAAAAGAGCCATCACCAACATGTCCCAGTCACTCACCAAATCCTTCATGTGCCCATCAATTCTTATTAGTGCGATTAAATTACCTACAGCTGTTCCTGAGTCTCTGCTGGGAACTACAATGATACACAGCAAACCCCCCAAAAGCGGAAACCTTTCTGCTTTTAACATTCCCTCCTGTTCAGACCACTTATGCCACCTGCATTTTCTATGAGTCACCTTGGTGGCCTGTAACATGATCACTCTGCGAGGGCAAGACATAACCCCGGCTTTTGTGTCGCATGTTACCCAACCTCTTCTTCTATCACTTACTCTCCGCAAGAAAATGAACTGTAGTATCTCTTCCCATCAAGAAATTCCCTTGGTCTCCAGGGTGAGAAAAAATTCCATGGCAGCACCCAGATCTATCAAATGATACAAACACAAGCTTTGGGAACAAAACTGGGTCTGTCAGATCGTTGATGTCATCCCTCAGACACTCACCAGGGTGACAATGGCACATTCAGCAGTCAGTTGAGCAGCACTGAACAACGTCCGAACAAAGCGGTAAATCTGTTTCTGCTCCGGGTCATGTTTGTCATAATCTGGTGGCACTTCGGATTTCTAAGGAAGAAATACTTCCAAATAGGTGACTGAAACAAAACGAAGCAGACAGAAAGACAGACAGTTCACATGAAAGGGAAGAAGAGGCAGATGAACTTACCGAAAGGGGATGAAGGTTTTCATCAAAAATATCTAAGAGCATTCTTCCGTCTGTGTCCCTAAAAGGTATTAAAAACAAAGTAGCGTCATTGTCTGAACACGACAGCAGGCAGCTCTCAGACACAAGTGTATCGTTAAAACTCCAATACTGCTCATGCTGCGTGGTGCTTAGGAACACTGCAGAAATGTGATTTTCAAATAGAAGTTGGACCTATTCTGCCATAAGGTTCACGTGTAATATGAAATCCGTATTACAAAGTATGCTAAAATTTTCAGATTTCAATGCCGAAGGCACACAGCTTTTGCACTCTCTACTGTGAGGCTTTTTCCCAACCTAAGAGGTACTACTATAAACTTATCATAAAATCAGCTCAGCTTACTCTCCTTTTCTTAACTGTTAATCCTTGCAATCTCTTCTTTTAAGTAATTCCTCCTCCTCCTCTATTGCCAACTTCATGAACATTTACAAATATGCAGCACTATTTTTACAGTTATCCTTCAGTTAATGCATAGATACTTCACTTTTTATTTCTTTGGAAAACCCTATCCTACTGTGATTTCTGAAAGCAAAAAGGAGCATATACAAAAAACTTTTAGACAAAATAATATTCCTATTCATTGGTTTTATTTCCTATTTTGGCTCAGATCCCTGTTGCTCAAGATCAGCATGAAAGTTGATGCAACTTCACAAGCCTAACATCCAAAATGCAATTTAAGATTTTTGCTGTGTGTAACCTTGGCAGAAACACGAACAATCACAAAAGCAAGTGGTATAACAGTACCAGTTAGAACTGGACACTTTCCGGACAGATGCATCCATGTAACTTACTTGTTACAATCCCATCTTTATTTATAGCATCCCTGGTACTTGGGTCATAGAGCTCTTAAGAGAGAAACCACTGAATATGTTATCTATCTTTACTCAACAGCACGTGTTTCTCAGAGCATGCAAACACAAGTTTTACAGTGGATTCACGTCTACAAAATGTACTTATTAGCAGCTAACATTTAAACCTCAACATCTGAAGGTGACATTTTTTCTGCTATAAAGCCTGCTAACACTGGAAATACTCCTTTTTAAAAAGAAAAAAAAGTGTTTACCTAAATTAAAACAAAAAAGCAGACTGAAATACTTACTAGAAAATTCCTAATCAGCAAGGATTTTAGGCCAGACTCTCTTACCCCTACATAAATGGAATCGTTGATGTGCTACAGTAAACTGTGGCCCTTCACAATGAGAAGAGAGAAAAAAAGAATTTCCTATTTCTTCATGCTGTAGCTGCTGCATGCTATGAAGACACATTTGATTGCTCTCAAAAAATCTATTACACAAAAAACCCAAAAAAGATAGGTTGATAGGTTTGCGTCTTCATTAGAACAAATTCACATTGTTATCTATCAAAAATGAACCATCTACTAATTGATCTAAGCATTTTTCATGGTTAGTTTGTTGGGGTTTATTTTATTTTATTTATTTACTTAGCAAATTCACCAATACTTAGGCATTCCTCCGAAAACAAGATAGGTGTAGCCTTTTACCGCTTGTTGAATAGCTAAGCACAACAAAAGCTGCAGAAAGCCCATCGATATAACAACGATAGGAGACACTGGGAAAAGAAGGAATGAAAACTAGAATGTTACAATCAAATGAAATGTGGGAAACATATGAAGGAATATTCTATTTCATGTACAGTTTCTCAAAAAAATGGGATTGGTGAGAGTTTGGAATGTTAGCAAGTAATATAGTTTTAAGCCTACTGTGCAGGAGAAAAGGAACAAATAAATATTGTCTGAAAAGAATTCTTCTCTGGCAAAGCAGGTTTCTGTCAAAATCAACCTTGAGTATATATAAGAGTTACAGTGGTTTCTTACTCCCCACCCTCCATAATGAACCAAAATCTACCACATACGTCAACAACTTCCTTTCGCCTATAATGGCAGGAAACAGAATATATGTTTTGTTATTGCTGTTTCAGCAGCAAGTACAACTGAATGCTGTTATCACATTGTCCCTCCGTTCCTAAATCAGAGACTGCCGAAGACACAACAGTCATTTCACATCCTCCATTTCAGAGTCGTTAATTGACCCACGCGAGCCTGCTCCAGCACGGCTGCCGAGACCGTCCGTCCCAAGTGCGGCAGAGGGCACGTTTACAACACACCTCCCCACGCCGGGCAGCCGCAGGAGGGAGAAGCAGCAACCAGTTCTTCCTGAATGAATCACCTCTCTGTCCCAAAAGCAAAAGGACAGATAGCAAGTTTCCCAAGAAGGTAACATTCAGAATGTATTTGTTTTCAAGACACTGACCTGGGACTCTATTTTACAAAGGTTTAGCCTCTCTGTTTACTAGATGTAGATCAAATTTGCATCAAGTTCTATAAGACCACGAATGGGCATCTTTTACTGCAGACAGAAATCAGCTCCACGGCAATCGGCATGAAGCATACTTTGGCTCTGGATTCCTCCTGCTCAACTGTGAGCTCTTACTGAAGTTTCTCACCCTTTGTAGTCCCTAATGCGCCCCACTTTCCTGAGCCTTTTACTCAGCTGGCATGATACTTAAGTTATTCTTAAGCACTCTGTTATTTCCACAAAACTTTACAGTCTGATTATCTTTGTGTATTGGGTTTGCATGGCAAGGTTTTGGTAGCGGAGGGGCTACAGGGGCGGATTTTGTGAGAAGCTGCTAGAAACTTCCCCCATGCCCAATAGAGCCAATGCCAGCTGGCTCCAAGACGGTCCCACCGCTGGCCAAGGCTGAGGCCATCAGTGATGGTGGTAGCGCCTCTGGGATAACATATTTAAGAAGGGGGGGGGAACCTGTGCAATTGCAGCTGGAAAGAGGAGTGAGAATATGTGAGAGCAACAACTCTGCAGACACCAAGGTCAGTGAAGAAGGAGGGGGAGGAGGTGGTCCAGGCGCCGGAGCAGAGATTCCCCTGCAGCCCATGGTGAAGACCATGGTGAGGCAGGCTGTCCCCCTGCAGCCCATGGAGGTCTACAGTGGAGCAGATATCCACCTGCAGCCCA